GAAAGTATATGCCTCTGCAAGAGAAAAGCCCAGAGGGTCACACCCCAGAAAGACAGCAGGGAGTAAAGGGAAGATACAAATTGGGAAATAATAAAGGAGATCAACCCAGATTAATTCATGCTCAATATTCCTGATGACAGACTAGAGAATCTTTAAATATGGAAAGCGAAGTAGAAACAGAAAATATAGAACAAGGAGCAAGTGCGCAAATGCCCACGAAAACGGAAATTGCAGAAATGTTTGCAAAAATTAGAATACTCTATAAAAAATTAAATGGAGGTATTATATAATGACTTTGGACAAGTTCTAACACGAGTAGAGGAAACAGAGGATACAATAGAGAAACATGCTCAAGCAATTATTAAATTTGGAAAAGCAGATGGAAGAAATACGAAGAGAGCAAAGGAAGCTATCATACAAGCTGGAAGATCAAGAGAATAGAGACAGAAGGAATAATCTGAGAATCTGGGGCCTACCAGAGTTTTCTAATGGAGAAGATTTGCTGGATGAAATGAGAAAAGTGTTAAATCCTTTGATAGGCAGACCAGTGTCAGTCCAATTGAAAATAGAGAGAGTCCATAGGATAAGATGACTCCAAGGGATGCCACTGGAAAGCCCCAGAGAAGTGGTTTTTCCTTTGCATGATTATGAAGGTAAAGCTATCATCTGGAAGAAGATAAGAGGGATGTCTGCAATAAAAAACATGGAGAAATACATCTACAAATATTTGCAGATCTGGCGCCAGAGACTCTGGCCAGGAGAAGATCATTGAAACCATTATTGGAGAAAATGCGTAATAAAAACATCTGATATAACTTGGGGTTTCCAGCATGTCTGATTGGCTGGGGCTGGAAAGATGGACACTCTGTGTATTGAGATTCCCAGAAGATTTATGGGACTTCTGTGAAAGACTTGACTTACAGATAGTGGACATACTGGGATGGTCTGTAGGGGCTAAGCACTGTACAGAATTAGAAAAAGAATGAAATAAAAAGTGGGCATAGGGGATGGAGTGAGAGGTGGGGTGGGGTAGGGCGGGGGATAAAAGAAGAGTTATGCGGAATGCAAGCAGAGAGTTTATATAAATAAATAGATGGCGGAGTACCAGGAAATGTAATAAGTACCGATTCCGGAACCCAAAGATTAGAGATCGGGGTTCGGTTAGGTGTACGCGCTCCCACCCTGGAATAGGAGTCGACAGTGAGAACAGAACCACATCTGACTCCAGGGCTAGAAATATGCCAAGGGGTTTTAAGCGTAGGAGGGATGAAGGGAGGGGAGGTGAGAGATGGGCGGTATAGGTAGGGGGAGGGGGTCAGGGAGATATCAGGGGGGAGATAGATCCCCTAGAAGAAATCTCTTCACAAACTAGTTACTTGGTAAATCTCCCAGATATGGTTAGCATGGAAAAAAAAAGATGAGGAGGGATGAATGCAGTTAATTTTATGACCTACAATGTGAACAGACTAAATACCCTGGGAAAAAGACAAATGATTCTTAGGGAAATTCATGGACGTTATATTGGAATCATATTTTTGAAAGAAATGCATATAATTCACAAAACAAATATTAAGCTGTACTTAAAATACTATCTGACCTGGTATTACACCGATACACCAATAAAGCATGCTAAGGGGGTAGCAATCGGGATAGCAAAGAATGTGAGATTTAATATCAAAGATAGGTTGACTGACCCAGAGTGTAGATATTTGTTTGTGAGAGGGAATTTAAATGGAATGTACACTGGCAAATATCTACTCTCCCATTAAAAACCCAACTGTATTTTTGGAAGATATGTTTAGAAAGCTAATGAACATTAAAAAAGGGTAAGTTGATTGTGGCAGGAGATTTTAATTTTTGTATGGACCCTCAGTTGGATACATCGTCTAAAGGAAAGAGGGAAGGAGATAAACAATTAAAGTCCATTAGAAAAATGTTACATCAATGTCAGCCGAGGGACGCCTGGAGGATTAAACATCTGGGGGAAAGAGGTTATACATTTTATTCATCGGTACATAAGACGAATTCAAGATTAGATTATATATAAAATGATATAACATACATTTTTGAAGTCATTAGTTATGGCTGACATTGAAGTGATATCAATATCAGATCACGCTCCTGTCATGGTGAAATTGTGTCAACATGGGGAACGGAATAAGATAAATATGTGGAAGTTAAACAAGACGCTCTTACAGGTTCAAGAGACTGAATTGAGGTTAAAAAAATAAATTGAGCAATACTTTCAGTCAATTGAGACAGAGGAGGTCTTGGTAACAACAATATGGAAAGATAAGATAGAAGAACTATATGAATTAGAATAGCTACATAAAAAGAAGTCAGACACAGATTTATACCAGAATTAAAGGATTTTATGGAGCAAGAAACAAAAGAAGGTGGCAAAAGAAAGATACCAATGGGGGAATAGACCAGGGAATATGTAAAGAGAAGACGAAGGAAACAGAAATCAGCAAACTTCGTGGAGAGATTAAGAGATGAAACAGGTGAAATGGTTGAATACAAAAAGAACAAGCAGGGTGCTAGATCAGCGTGGGTTAAAAACTTAGAGACTTTATTACAATAGCACTTACATATAAATCCCCCACGAATAACATCTGAAAAACATGCAGTGTGCAGGAACAGTGGAGCCAAGGGTCACTAAGATAGTGGAGCCAAGAATTACTGCATGACATGGGGAGAGACCCACTGCAAATTGACTCCATGGCATCTCTCTGTTCATTCCTGCTGGGTGATCGGGAGATGTGACAGGTGCACATGGGCGTGCCGCAACGTGTTTCATAAGCTCTGCCTCCTTTGTCAAGCAGCTCCAATTTGACCTTTTCATTAATAAACCCTATTTTGAAAAGTCTTATAACTATCTCTAAGCCTTTTAATGCAAAGTAAGAATCCCTGTCTCTTGAAGAGTACTACTGTATATTGTAATCCTCTGAATTTACTTGTGACAGTGTGTGTTGCAGATATTTAGTGTTCACATTTGTTCTCCCTAACATTGTAAAGGGTTGATAGGCCCAAAGCTATCTGGTGGCAGTTTGGAGTTTGAAGGGTTAATTGCGTAATTAATTAACCCAGTGGCAATCAATCTCAGGTTGCTTGCACAAATAATGTGGTACCGGGAGCTGGAAAATCTTTGTGCAGGGTCCTTCGTCATGAGTTGGTAAGAAGGGCAGGGGTCGGGCACTGCGTTGCGTCACAGTATTATTAGAATTACATGAAGTGAATACTTGCTTACTTAAGTAATTCAGGTTTTATATTACTATATTCTAGTTTTATATATATATATATATATATATATACATAAAATCTATAGTAATTGGTTTTAACAATTAATACATATTGGTGTTTTGTGGATATTATGTTTTTAACAATATAAAGAATTAGTTTGAGTTAATTATATTACAATGTTGGCATGTTACAGAAGACGTGAGATAATAAGAAGTCTCAGTAAAATTACCTCAACTTTTTGTAAGATAAGGTAGGTAGATTTTTTTTTCTTCAGAATCACTTAAGTTATTTTCAGTGACTTTAGTCCCAGCATGTCTGACCAACTCTGTCAAAAGAAATCTTATCTCAATATTTAGAGTTTTTCTTACTAGCTGGGGTTAAAGGTCAACTTTTGACATGACACAGAAGAAATTTCACAGAAACCCAATATCATTCCTAATCCTATACTGCCCCGTTCAGGTAATTGAAATCAATTAGTAGAAAAAATTACACCTAGTCTGATGTCATTTTTAGGTGAAGGTAAGCTTTGCCCGCCTAAGTTTTTTTTGGGAGGAGCCTATGTGTTGACGTCATGCCGTCAAGTCCATACGATGGTCCGGCAGCCATCTTTGTAAGTGGATTTGTTTTATGCTCCACGTGGATGCTATTTTATGCTTTAATAAAACTTACTACACCATAAGCGGTTCTCTCTGGGCTCCTTTTGTAAACTTTTCCCTTCAAGGTTTGGCCATTTTATATTCAGAGATCGAGCCACACTGTGGGAGAATTATCAGTTTTACTTTGGAGAACTCTATACAGAGTTAAGCAGTACATGTCATATATCCATTCTGGCTGTGGATAAGCTTTACCTTCTGCATGTTTTCCTATTTTGAATGCGCATTTATTCTATGCTTCATGTGAGCGCATTAGGAGGAAGAATTGTTACGGATTCACCCACCACTTGATGTCACGTCATTTATTCTGGACACTATGCATAGATATTGTTTGTTTGTGCTTTATTGATATATTTTATATGCACTGATTTTTTGGTCACGCATGTCACCCATTTTTATGTTATATATAATTTTTCACGTCCCTTATGATATTCACCATAGCGCTGTACATTTTTTCTATTACATGTTTATGTGGATGAAGTGGGTTGTCCTTTTGTGCTAGCAGCTGGCATAATTTCTCCCTTTGCGCTCACTGTATTCCTTTTTACATATTACTTAAGTAATTCAGGTTTTATATTACTATATTCTAGTTATATATTATTATTATTATACAGGATTTATATAGTGCCAACAGTTTGCTCAGCGCTGTACAATATAAAAGGAGACAATACAGCAACAATACAGTTCAATACAAGAGGGATATACTGTATATATATATATATATATATATATATATATATATATATATATTAATTAGTTTTTTAACAATTAATACATATTAATACATATTGGTGTATTGTGGATAATAAGTTTTTAACATTATAAAGAATTACCAAAAAGGGGAAAAAGATCAGTGCATCTTATGGAGCGAATATGGAGCTGCCGGTCCGGTATTCTCGCCGCTGCCGTGTCAGAATACCGGGCCGGCTGCTCGACTCTTCTCTGCAGCAAAACCTTACCTGTTCCTCGGTCCAGCTCAGTACAGTCTTCCGGTGACACGTGACAGTTCCCAGAAGACGCCGGACCATTCACAAAGCGCAGCGCTTCTCGCACATGCGCAGTGGGCACCTGGCTGTCACAGCCGGGTGCCCACACTAAAGGGAGGATAACTCCGCGGAAGTGGGAGCGGGTACCTGTCAAATTCAGGTACCCGCTCCCCCTACCTCCCCAAAGGTCCGCAGTCTCTGGTAATCTCCTTTACTGTCTGCAGTCTCTGGTCATCCCCTGCACTGTCTGCAGTCTCTGGTCTTCTGTACTATGTCCGCAGTCTCTGGTCATTCCCTGTACTGTGTCCGCAGTCTCTGGTCATTCCCTGTACTGTGTCCGCAGTCTCTGGTCATTCCCTGTACTGTGTCCGCAGTCTCTGGTCATCTCCTGTACTGTGTCCGCAGTCTCTGGTCATTCCCTGTACTGTGTCCGCAGTCTCTGGTCATTCCCTGTACTGTGTCCGCAGTCTCTGGTCATCTCCTGTACTGTGTCCGCAGTCTCTGGTCATCTCCTGTACTGTGTCCGCAGTCTCTGGTCATCTCCTGTACTGTGTCCGCAGTCTCTGGTCATCTCCTGTACTGTGTCTGCAGTCTCTCGGTCATCCCCTGTACTGTCTGTCGTCTCTGGTCATCCCCTGTACTGTCTGCAATCTCTGGTCATCCCCTGTACTGTCTACAGTCCCTTGGTCATCCACTGTACTGTCTGCAGTCTCTTGGTCATCCCTTGTACTGTCTGCAGTCTCTTGGTCATCCCCTGCACTGTCTGCAGTCTCTTGGTCATCACCCCTGTACTGTCTGCAGTCTCTGGTCATCCCCTGTACTGTCTTCAGTCTCTTGGTCATCCCCTGTACTGTCTTCAGTCTCTTGGTCATCCCCTGTACTGTCTGCAGTCTCTTTGTCACCCCCTGTGCTGTCTGTAGTCTCTTGGTCATCCCCTGTACTGCCCCCTTCAGGTAACTGAAATCAATTAGTAGAGAAAATGACACCTAGGCTGATGTCATTTTTAAGTGAAGATATGCTTTGCCTGCCTAGGTTTTTTTTTGGGGGGGGGGGGATAAATGTAGGAGTCGGAGAGAGATGAGGACACATCACCAAAAAGACAGGACAAGACAAGACAGGAGACAAGGAACAACAGACGGACACAGACACACACTGAAGTGAGCTGCCTGAAAGCAGACATAATTGACACCATAGAATTCATATTGATAACTATAACTTTCATTTTCTTCAGCTACCTTGTACTAGCCTTACAGCTCCAGCTAAATTGTTTAGTCTGATAACAGGTGTGGTTAGCACAGGAGTTGATGTAAAGTAATTTTAACTGCAGTATAAATTATTTAAATTTCAATCCTCTGGGGGAAATTCTATTTTAAATATCCCAGAAACTAATTTTAGCTTCCAGTCAATGGTTTAGCTGGAGATATTATATATATATATATATATATATATATATATATATATATATATATATATATATATGTGTATATATTGTGAGGGATTAGTCCAGTAGCTGGTTGTGCTTGACCCCTGGATGAGTCAGAGCATGGTGAAAGAGGCTCAGCACGACAGCAGGATTTTGGTGAATAAAGTTGTGCTTTATTTACAAGTCTGGTGAATACACTGTGCATAAATTCAAAAACAGCAAAACAAATACAAACAGAAAATAAAGCCTTGCCACACTGGGCATCTAACTGCACACACAGGTTCCTATCTGCTTGTCTGGATACAGCATATCGCTGCTCAGACACACGGGGTTCACACAGTCCAAGATCACATAGATTTACTCTCACCGCAGTATTGTTTGGTTGGTTGCTCCCCAGTCTGTCCTGCACAGCAACTGGTTCCAGGTTGGAGCATCCTCTGGATGTTTTATAGAGCCCAGAGCCATTAACCTACTACACCTGAGTTAATTACATAATAAGTGAGTCAAACAGGCTCACTACACAGCACCAAGGGAGAAACAGTCAGTGTAAAGCATGAACCTGGGACAAATATACCTCCCATCCTGGACACATCCCTTAGTTCTTCCTGTCCCATACCCCCCCCCCCCCCGTTTCAACCTTGGGGTTGGAACACAAGTTGCTAAGCGTGCACTCGGGACAGGGTATCTGCATTCCCCATTCTAGCACCGGGGTGGTGTTTTATGACAAAACTAAATTCTTGAAGAGACAGGAACCACCTATTCACTCTCCTATTGGTCTCTTTGTTGTGTGCCATCCACTTTAAGGGAGCATGATCTGTTAGCAGTTCAAACTGTCTTCCCAAGAGATAGTACCGGAGAGAATCTAAAGCCGACTTTATTGCTAAGCATTCTTTCTCAATGGTGGAGTAATTTTCTTCATGTCAAGGTCCTACCTTTCCTCAGGGCTTTTGCTGCTCCATGTGCTAGCATCCATCTTAGGTGTCTGCAAAGCATTGTGGGATCCTTTATGCTTTCAGCCCTCTGCAGCTCCTCCCCCAGGAGGTGGCGGCTTATCACATATAAGTCTGCTGTTTGTAGCTGTCCATTGCATTCGTGTCCTGTCTGTTGCACAGCAGCAAGCTCCTGTTTAGTTTCTCATTGCTCTCCTGGATACCGACTCGGCTTTGGCAAGACCTCGGCTCTGGCGATCATCCTTCCTGGCTTCTGACCCCGGCTCTGGCGACCATCCTTCCTGGCTACTGTCCTACCAAGTCATCCGCTGTTGCTGTTGGACTTGCATAGACTCTGTCTTGTTTTTGTATAATAAACCTACCTTTAATTGCACCTCCTTGTGTGTCTGGCTCCTCGCTCCCTGGCACTTCATGGGGCTTTAATTTCCGACTGAGGTAAATGATGGGGTGTTCTTTCCCTTTGAAGAATTGAAACAACACAGCTCCTAACCCAACATCTGAGGCATCGGTCTGGACCACAAAATCCCTTGAAAAATCAGGGGAATACAACACTGGCTGTCTACATAAGGCCTGTTTTAATCCCTCAAAAGCTGCTTCTGCTTCAGGGGTCCACTTGACCATGACAAACTCCTTCCCTTTTGTCAAATTGGTCAGGGGAGCAGCCTGTGAGGCAAAATGAGGAATAAACTGCAGGTAATAACCAGCAATTCCCAAAAAAGCTCGTACCTGCTTCTTGTTGGTGGGGCGTGGCCAGCTTAGTATAGCGTATAGCGTCAACTTTGTTGACCTGGGGCTTTATCAGACCTCTATCAATGGTATATCCCAGATACTTGGCTTCCTCTAACCCAATGGTACATTTCCTTGGGTTGGCTGTAAACCCAGCTTTCCAGATAGCATCTAATACTGCCTGGACTTTCGTTAAATGTGAGCCCCAATCTTCACTATGGATGACCACATCATCCAAGTATGCCGCCGCATAGGCTCGATGGGGCCGGAGGGTCTTATCCATCACCCGTTGAAATGTGGCCGAAGCTTTCTGCAACCCAAACGGCATCCTACAATACTGAAAAGAACCTTCTGGAGTCACAAATTTTTCCTTGGCTGATTCCGAAAGAGGAATCTGCCAATACCCTTTGGTCAGGTCCAGTGTTGTCATATCCCTAGACCATCAATCAGTTCCTCTATGTGGGGCATGGGATAGGTGTCAAATTTAGTGATTTTATTCAGTGGGTGAAAATCATTACAAAACCGCCAACTTCCATCTGCTTTGGGCACTAACACAGTAGAACTGGACCATTCACTATTCGACTCCTCTAAAACCCCCAGTTCAAGCATATTTTTTGTTTTTTGGTGAATTGCCTCTCGCCGAGCTTCTGGAATACAATAGGGTTTTAACTTGACTCTTTCCCCTGGGGGGGTAATAATGTCATGCTCAATCCTGGACACCCACCCAGGGTATTGTGAGAATTTCTCTTTATTGCGAAGCACAAATTCTCTAGCTTCTTGTTGCTCTGTTTTTGATAGAGTCTCTGCTACCCCCGACCTCTGGGTCTTCCAAGGTAGGTGGAGCAGGAATCGGGGCAGTCTCAGTGACCAAGGATTCCCTATCCTTCCATGGTTTTAGCAAATTTACGTGGTACAGCTGCTCAGGTTTTTGTCTTCCTGGTTGGCTAATTTTACAATTCACGTCACCCAGTTTTTCCAATAGGCCCTGCCATTTGGCCAGGAATTTACTTTCAACCGTGGGGACCAACACCAAGACCCTATCACCAGGTGAAAAAGAACAGATCCGAGCCCCACGATTGTAAATTCTTTGTTGAGCCAACTGGGCTTGAGTCATATGTTCCTTCACAATAGGCATTACTTGTGTAATTCTGTCTTGCATTTGGGCCACATGTTCAATTACGCTTCTATGAGGGGAACTCTCACTCACTCATGTTTCCCTTGCAATGTCCAACAGCCCCCGTGGGTGTCTCCCATACAGCAGCTCAAAGGGAGAGAACCCTGTGGACAATTGGGGAACCTCTCTGATCGCAAACATTAAGTAAGGTAGTAGACAATCCCAATTTTTTCCATCTTTATCGACTACCTTCTTCAACATTTGTTTTAACGTTTTGTTAAACCTTTTTATCAACCCAATTATCTGAGGGTGATACACTGAAGTACAGAGTTGGGCCACCTTCATAAGTTTGCAAAGTTCTTTAGTTACCTTGGACATAAACGGGGTGCCCTGATCAGTTAGTACTTCTTTGGGAAGGCCTACACGGCTGAAAATTTGAAATAGCTCTTTGGCAATTGTTTTGGCAGAAGTGTTTTGGAGAGGAATTGCCTCTGGGTAACGGGTGGCATAGTCCAATATCACCAAGATGTGTTGGTGCCCTCTAGCGGACTTTAGCAAGGGGCCAACCAGATCCATGGCGATCCTCTCAAAAAGGGACCTCAATGATGGGCAGGGGAACCAAAGGACTGCGAAAATGTGGCATTGGGGAAGAAATCTGACACACTGGCCAGGAAGAACAGTACATTTTTACTTCCTTAGTGATTCCAGGCCAATAGAACCTCTGTAAGATTCTTTCTCTGTTTTTTTCAGCTCCTAAATGTCCCCCAATAATGTGCCCATGGGCCCGTTCTAAGACCAATTTGCGGTAAGATTTAGGCACCACCAGTTGTTCTATGGTTTCCTCTGCCCTCTGTGACACCCGGTATAATAGGTCCCTTTCAATGATGAAGTACGGGAGGGCAATCCTCTCGTCAGGAGTCACTAATTCCCCGTCTATTTTTACAACATTCTCTCGGGCCTTTAGTAATGTAGGGTCCTTCAATTGTTCAGTGGCAAAACTTTCTCTGTGTAAGTCATCAAACACCAGAGGTTGCTGTTCCACTTCCGAGGTTGTAGGCTCCTCCCTAGGCCCTGTTTCCCCCCTGCTAATACTGACAAGGGAAACTCAGGTGAATCCTCACCCTCAGAGGATTCCATAGGAGAACCTTCAGGCTCTGAAGGATCATTCAATGGAAAATCTGGGCCATTCCAAAGCTCACAGAATTTTGGGAAATCCCTTCCCACAATGGCATCATGTGGTAGTTGGGGAACCAGACCCACTCGATGACCCAGGGAGGTCTCAAAGGACACTGTTGGCACAGGATACTCTCGAGTGTCTCCTTGAACGCAAATGACTGCCAGTTTTCTAGGGTGCAAGGTTTTTCCAGTTACCAGCTCAGTTTTGACCAAGGTAACCAGGCTACCTGAATCCAACCACACAACATTTTTACCATCAATACACATTTTGCATAAAGGTTTCTCATTTCCAATTTCAGCAGTGCATGTAATAGTTGCAAATAGGGACTGCCGTCTCTCTGTAAGAAAGTCACAGTGCGTTGGTTCA